GAGGGATAAAATCAGCAGCCAGGGAAGGGGCTCCAGCCCGCTCCGGCCTTGTCCGAGGGGCTGCTCTCCCCGGCGGTCAGCACGGCTCACCCGCCTGCGCGCCGGGGAGCAGTGAGGCCGCCCCGCACCCCAGCCCCGAGAGCACTGGGGGACAGTCTCAGCACAGCAATGGTCATGCAGATCCTCACGAGCTCTTGTGTGTCTCCCTGGCAGTGCCCATGCCAGACCCGAGGGCCCCTATGCAGCGTGGACCTCTACCTGCTAGTGGCCCGCCACCCCGAGGCCTTTTGGGAGATGCCCCGAATGACCCTCGCGGAGGGACCCTGCTCTCAGTCACTGGAGAAGTGGAGCCCAGGTGAGGGGAGAGGGAAGGAGAGGAGAGGAGCCCTTGGCACTGTCCCCGGCCCAAGGGTGACCTCTCGCTGAGGACAGGGATGGCACCAGCCTTCCGGGAGTCACCGCTGCCTGGTTGGAGGCCCTTGTGCTGCCGACCGCGGGGGCTGGCCCGTTTCCCCGGGGATGGGGCATCCCCGGTGTGATGGCAGCAGCCCTGTGGCATGGGGCCGACAGCACCCGTCCCTGTGCCAGCCTCGTCCTCCTCCCCTGCGGCCGGCTTCGGGGGAAATCCCAGCGCTCTGCCCAGACCGTGCCAAGCCAGCGTCTGATTCACACTCTCTCGCTTTTTCTCCTCCTCCTGCTTTGCTCTCCTCGTCTCTCTGCGTCAGAGGTTACCTTGGGCCGCCCCACCAGGGAGCCCCTATGCACCATATGCCTGGTCATGACAGCCGTGGCCCCCCCCATGAGATGAGGGGGGGACCCATGGGAGAACCCCGACCACTGATGGGAGAGCCGCGGGGGCCCTTGATGGATGCTCGAGGTGAGAGAGGGGGCATGAAATAGTGGGTGGCTTAAAGCGTACAGACAAGAAGTCAGAGTGGAGCCCACTGCCCCGACATGAGGCGTAGGAAGGGGGTTTGGGCAGAGAAACAACTGACCCCAGGGCAAGGAGGGACGGTCCCGCAGGGCGAGGGACTTCCTCCAGGGATGTCCCTTCGGCCCCCGGCTCTTCTGGGCGTTTGCTAGCCGCCAGGCGAAGGAGGCAGTGGGCTTGCTCCCACACTCCCCGCGGCACTGCTCCCTTCAACACCTTGCCTTGTCTTTCCCCTGCAGTCGGAAGAGATCCCCGAGGGCTGGAGCCACGAGGATTGGAGCCGCGAGGGCTGGAGCCCCGGGTGATGGAGGCGCGAGCCCTGGAGGCGCGAGGCCTGGAGCCGCGGGTCCTGGAGCCGCGAGTGCTGGAAGCCAGGGCCATGGAGGCCAGGGTTATGGAGCCCCGGGGCCTGGAGCCTCGAGGGCCTGGTCCCAACCCGCGTGGCCCCATGCCTGGTGGGATACAGGGTCCTGGGCCACTTAATATGGGAGCCAGTGGCCCGCAGGGGCCCCGCCAGGTACACGCACCACCTCTGCTCAGCTGGTTGGGCACCGATGGTGTCTCGTAGATTGGGGCAGGGTGGGGGATGCGATCGTGTCCTGCAGCAGCTAGAGAGGGGAGGGTGTCCCACAGAGCAGCGCCTCCTAAAAGCACGAGGCCTGGGTCAGTGGCTCTCTGAGGGGTTTGGGGCAGCTGTCCCATCTCCCCAGGCACTGCCCATCTGCTGGGGACGAGACGAGGCTCGGGCCTCTCTCCACCTCTTCCTGATGCGCAGGAAGGAGTGCAGAAGGTGGAGGGAGAGGAGAGCACATAAAATGCTCGGTAGCCTGTCTGTCTTCGTGCTCGGGCATCTTCAGGCTGTCTGTGAGGGCATCCATCTGATCATCTGCTTTACGTTCCTGGTTTTGTATGGCGGAGTCCAGAGACCCCTTGGTCCTTACCCCTTCTCTCCTCCCTGCAGGTTCCTAACATGGCAGGGGCAGGCATGCAGGGAGGAGGCCTTCCCGGGGCAGGGCCAAGGAGCTGGTCAGCCCGGAGGCTTTAGCCCTGGACAGAGCCAGGTCACCCCCCAGGATCATGAGAAGGTGAGTAGACAAAAGGGAAAGGGTGAGACAGCAGGAGCAGCACTTCCTACGTGCCTTACTGTGGTGGGGACAGCCCCTTCCTGGCTCTGGTAACCCGTGGCTGCTCTGGCAGGACACGTCTCTGATTCTGCCTTCTCCCCACAGGCAGCCCTGATCATGCAGGTTCTGCAGCTGACGGCAGACCAGATCGCCATGCTGCCCCCAGAGCAACGGCAGAGCATCCTTATCCTAAAGGAGCAAATCCAGAAGTCCACAGGGGCACCCTGACAGGTGATGTCCTTAACCCAGCCCTGGCCTTGCCTGCTCCCCTCCAGTAAATCCGAGAGCTGCTCAGGATGGGGCTCTACCCCGCTTTTCCTCCCCATGTCAGGGCTCACTCTCTTCCCCTTCCTTCTCGCAGGCCTGGCAGGCGCATGGTGGAGATGCCGTCCGCCTGGGCGGAGGAGACGCTCCATGGCAGCTGGTCCCGTTGCTGTCTGAGTTGATGCTGCGTTTTGGGAGAGGTTTCTCCTTCCCACCCCTCCGCCCCGTAACGTTTTCCCCTCCCATTCATCCTTTTTTTTTTCTGTGTGTATATTTTATGATGTTTGAAATAAAGTGGGAGGAGGATTTGAGTAAAGCCGTGTCTCCGGCTGCCTTGTTTGGTCTCTCGTGGAGGCTGGAGCGGGGCTGGGGGGTTTCTGGGAGCAGTCTTGCCTCCGTGCTAGTCCACACTACTCGCCTTCCTCCCATCTCCCCAGCACTGGAGCAAGATCTATTTGCGGGCTTTTACGTGCCGGGCTGTTCGCAGTGCTGTGAGGGAAGGGCAAGGATGGGGAGCTCGGCTTTCTGTCCCTGCCGACCAGGCGGGGAGGGCTCCGTATCCGATTGCTGTATCGCTTACCACACCAGCCTGCTCGGCGAGGGTGCTATTTTCCCCCCCCCCTTTTCTGCATGTGCTTTAGCAGAATGTGTTGGTTTTGTGTGAGCCACGTTTGAAGTCGGCCTGTGTGCTGGTTAGTGCCTGGTGGGTGGTGCAGGCTGGCTCTGGGTGGTGGCAGCGAGCCCCTGTGGAGGGGGGGGGACACCTTACCCTGTGCCCCAGGAGGTGTGTAATCAACCAGCTTTTCTATTACAGCCCTACGAGGGGGAAAAGAGTGGGCTCCCTTCACGCCGGCACGGACTGAGTCACCGCTGTGGCTTTTATTGCAAAGGAAAGCAAGTTTAATTTACCCTTTTATGCAAAGGAGTGTTTAAACCTGGAGGGACACGTTTAGCCCCTGGTGCCTGCTCGGCGTGCTTGTGTCCCGTCCCGTGGTCCTGCCCAGCCCGCTGGACGCTCCCACTGCTTCCCGCTGCTCCAGCAGTGTCATCGCAGCACCCGCCTCTAGTTTCTCGACAGGGGGATGGACATGTGGAGCTGCAGGTCCGCTCCCCCCGTGAGGACCCCTTGTAGACCGGGTCAAGAAGTCTTTGAACCTGGAGTTTCTCGTGGAGAAGGAGTACCTTGCAGTGTCTTGCCTGGCTTCGGTGCGCACACTCCTCAGCAGATGCTGGCCATGCTCTGGCATGGGGGGTGAGGTGAGACTGGCAGGGTCCCCTGCCCTCTGGGGTTCCCAGCCTGGCTGCCGCTTAGAAGTTCTCCTTGTTGAAGTAGAATTTGACCTTCCTGGGGTCCAGGCTGGAGTGCTGGTGGCAGGACTTCTGCAGGCTCTTTGCCAAGGACCCCGGCCCGCACAGGAACACGCCGACCACCGACCTGCACACAGTGTGGGGCTGTCAGCGCCGGGCGGGCGGCTCACAGATAAAGTGATTTAAGAACTTCTGGGGCTCCCGCAACCTGCGGGGGATGAGCACGCCCCTCCTAAAGCCAGCGCTACCCAGCCCAGTGCTGGGGAGGATGGGGTGTCTGGTGGCTCCAGCACCCTCAACCCCCTGCCCGGCTCTCACCTGGGGTGGGCTGCAGCCACCGCCGCAAACTCGCTGTTCCACATGGGCCGCCCAAAGATGGTTTTGTGCCTGAGCCCCGTCACCGTGTCCGTCGTGGTGTCGAAGTGGAGCGCCACGTTGTTCGCCTGGGCAGAGCAGGGACGATGAGGAACCTGGCCAGCGCCTGCGAGCCCACCTCCTGTCCCTCACCACAGAGGAGCACCCACCACTGCTGCCCACCAAGAAGCCCTCCTTGACTTTCTGCCTGCAGGCTCGCCCTGCTTCTCCTGCACAACTTGGCCACCCTGTGTCCCCCTTTGCAGTCACGCCTGCCTGTGGCCAACTCACAATGCTGGTGTTCCAGCCGGTGAGGAAGAGCCGGTAGGTGAGAAAGTCTGCCTTGCCCGACTCGGCCATCTTCTGCTCCAGCGAGGCAAGCAGGTCATTGAACCAGGCGAAGGCTCCCGTGTCCCGGCAGAGCCAGTAGAAGTAGATCTGGGATGCAGGGGGAGAGGGGTTGCTCAAGGTGGAGCACAGCAGGAGGTGTGGAAAGATGCGATAGGTCAAGGACTGGGAAGCCCAGTATGGAGAAACCCATGGCTGGTCCCACAGGGCACCCCGTACCTTCTTGGTCTTGAGGGTCTGGTCAGCCTGCTGGAACTTGTACCAGATGGACTTCAGGATGGAGGCGAAGGGGGTGACGCCGATGCCTGCTCCCACCAGCATGGCCACCTCATACTGGAACACGTCTTCGCTGGCTGTGCCGAAGGGGCCATCCACCTCGATCCTGGCCAAGGGAGGGCCTGGGTAAGAGGTACAGCCTCCCCAAATCTCCAGGATGGCCTGTTCGGGCACTCCCCAGCCTACCTGGGCATCTCCGCATTCTGCTGCTGGAAGGTGTCGATGAGACGCTCCGTCCAGTCGCCGGCCGCCCGGATGTGGATGGAGAAGAAGTCCTCCTCGGGTGCTGAGGTGAGGGTGAAGGGATGCCACTCCAGCAGGGAGATGGCAGGGCAGTTGACGAAGATGTACTGTCCCACCTCCATGCGGAAGCCCTTCTTCTGCATCTGCAGCTCCAGCACACGGGCAGGGTGCATGACCACCTGTGGTGCAGGGACGGGGCTCAGCGCCCAGCCTGGCTCCTGTCCTTGGGCAAGGAGCTTTGGCCGTGGCCCCTGCCCACCTCCCCACGGCCACCCCGGCAAGGAGCTATGGCACTGATGGCTGCAAGAAAAGGTGTGGGCGGTAGGCGTGGGCTCCCACACCACCCACCTTGGTGACGACCACCTTCTGCCGTGCACGCCAGACCCGAAGGATCCGTTCGAAGATGTAGAGGAGGAGAGGGGCCAGAACCCACTTCCAGGACTGCAGGGATGGAGGAGGGCAGAGGGTTGGGGGGGAGCCAGGGCTGGAGCATCCCAAGGGCGAGGGAAAAAACCCCCCGCAGCTGTCCCGCTGCTGCCCTACCTCGGCGGGGATGCTCCCGAACTCGGGGGCTTTGCAGCAGTCGTGGCTGCAATCTTCATCCTTTTTTGTGAGATACTGGGCGCAGCGGTGGGGGTGCACCTCCTCCATGCTCTCCTCCGTCTGCCCACGCACCAGACCACTGTGGGGAGGCGACAGGTGAACCTGAGGGCCATCTCCTGCACCCCTGGCCGGGGCTGAGCTGTACTGCATGGGGCCAGCCGGGCTAACCAGCCCCGGGAATGGAGAGCCCACAGCCCCAGTGAACCTCCTCCGGGGCTGCACCGCTCCCCTGGGACAGGCAGGGCTGTCCCATCAGGCATCTGCGGCCATTGCCCCTCGCTGTCCTGCCTTCGGGGAGCGGTGAGGAGCCTTACGCGATGCCATGGATGACGAGACCGGCAAAGTAGATGAGGAAGAGGTGGTGCGTGTACCAGAAGACCTCAAAGTAGTTCCTGCGGATGAACTCGGTGGAGGACGTGACCATGAGGATGAGCGCCAGCGTGATGATGACCCCTGTCAGCCCCGGGATGGTGGTGAAGGCCACGTACTCAACGGTCTGCAGGGGCAGCAGGATTGGTTAGGGGGGGGGCAGGGGACAGGCGGTGGTGGAGGGCTGGATGCCAGGGCTGGCACTCACCGTCTGGTTGGAGTGGATGGGGTTGAGCCACTTGTTGCTGCCCTGCAGGTGCATCTTGGAGAGGACGGCGGGGAGGCTGCCGTCGGTGGCTTGCTGGCTGTGGTTGTAGCGCTCCAGGTTGAAGAGGTGGGCGATGGTGTGCACGGCTGGGCGGGGGAGACGCAGTCACCCGCCTGGCCATCTCCCCGTCCCCACCGTGCCCCAGCCCAGCGCGGGGCGGTACCTGTGAGCAGGGCCAGTGTGTAGGCCACCAGCTTGTGAAAGGTGAGGTTGTGGTCCAGCTGCTTCCGCAGCGTCCGCCTGCAGCACTGTGGGGAGAGGTGACGGCGTCAGGGCGGGAATGGGGATGGGGATGGGGATGGGCACGCTGGCCGTGCCACCACAGGGCACTCACCGAGCAGGTCCCACGGAGGAAGGAGAGGAGGTTGCGGCAGACGGGCAGCAGGATCAGCATGCTGTTGAAGTTGAGGCACTTGGCCGATGCCCGGGCCCACGCCAAGGCGGACTGGGGAGAGGATGGGGGTTGAGCCCTGCTGTCTCATGCCACAGCTGGGCACATCTGCCTGCGGCCACGCTGTCCCCCCTGGCTCTGCCCAGCATGGTACGGTACTGGGACAGGATGGGGCCAAGCGATGCTGGGCTGGGGCTGTGGGATGCTGGATTAGGTACTCAGAGGGAGCGATGCTGGGGTGGGGACTGGGAGGGGGTGATGCTGAACCAGGAGGGGAGGGGGACTGGGAGGAGGCGATGCTGTGCCGGGACAGGACAGGGACCAAGACGGGGACCAGCATGGAGCAATGCCGGGCTGGGGACTGGGATGGAGCGATGGCAGGCTGGAAGAGGGCAGGACAAGGAAGGGATGTGGGGGCTGCAGCCCCCCAGCCCACTGAAGGAGGGCTCTGAGGGGCACGCGTGCCCGGGCAGGCAGAGTGCCGTGGGGGAGCGCCTTACCCCGAGGATGGCCCTGGTGTAGAAATATCGCTCATCCCGGTCAAAGAACAGAAAGTAGTAGGTGAAGAGGAAGATGTTGATGCCCAGCCAGGCTGCCTGCTGGGGAAAGCCATGGCCTCATGAGGTACCCTGCCCCGGGACCCCCCCGACCCCACAGCACTCAGGTGTGGGTGCAGCCGGAGGGCGTCAGGGCAGCACGTCCCCTCCTGCTTCCTTATGAGCTGTGGCCGCACGCACGGGGCTGGGACCCAGGGCCAAAGGTGGGGAGAGGCGTGGGAGACTTGCAAAATAACTGTCTTGTCACCCACGTCCCCGTGCATCATCCACGCACGAGGAAGGAGGAAAGGCAGACGCAGGCAACGCCTGCACGGCGGGAGGGCAGAGCCGCAGGGTGGTCGGGGCTGAGCGGGGCGGCCGCAGGGAAGGCTCCAGGGGGAGGAAATTTCGCAGGGAGACGGCTCACCCAGCCCCACCGCACTGCCGTCCCCCGCCTGAGCCTGCTGCACCCCCACACCGGCTCCTCTCACCGCCATCGATTTTTTTGCAGAGCTCTGAAAACCGCCCTGCTTTACATTTGGTGTTGATTTTTGGTTGGTTGGTTGGCTGGCTGTTTTTTTTAAAGTAAATTAAAAAAAAAAAAAATCAAAATAAACCAACCTTCTGCAAGCCCCCACTTTCCCACGCGCTTGCATCTCCTCACGCAGCGCCGAGCAGCTGGCACGGTGCCGGCCCGGCAAGCCCCGTTACACCTGCGATGCTGCGGCACAGCACCGGTACGTCGTCCCTATGGTGCAGACTCCTCAGCCTGGCGTGGGGTCTCACGGGAGCCTCCTGCTCCCACGGGGGGAGAAGAAGCAGTGGGAGACTCCCGGCCAAAGCAGCGGCATTTTTAAGTTTTGCAGCAGGACCCCCGTCCCCTTTCCTTTCAGTCGTGTTTTCCTTAAGACTTAATTTCTCTGAACCCCTCCGGAGGTTGGCTGAGCAGAGGGGCTGCTCCTCCCTCCCCGCAGCCCAGCCCCAGGACAGCCCATCAGCCCCCGTTTCCCCCCTGATTCCCCCCAGAGCCGTGCCTCCCATAACCCCCCGCATTTTATAACATACAACAACATTTTAAGACTATGTAAGATAAATAACCTATAAACACTGACACTGCTGCCCAGATTCACCATTTCACTTGCCACAGGTCTTCCTGAATTTGTTTTGGCACTGGTCTTTATGACTCCAAGAAGTTCTTTTTATGTCTTTAATATGTAGATTGTTAGCCTGGGAAGACACTTACCTTTTCTATATTGCTTTGCAATCCAAATGAACTGCTGCCTCACCAGCTTTCAGAAGTCATTTAAATTCGTTTCACAACCAGGTGAATCAGTTCAGAGGCAGTTTATAATGCAGATTTTCTTTAAGGCCACATTCCAGCTGTGTTAGGTGTGGAAACTCACTGGTATGGGAGCCAGCTGGTAAGCAACCTCCTATCCCAGCCCTTGTGAAAAGCCTTGATTTTTTTGTTTTGAATTCAAATTCAGGTAGTCATCTTCACACAGAGCATTAATGACCTACTTCAACGAGCACTTTTCTCAGCAGTCTTAGTAAATTGGGCTTTTTTTTTTTTTTTTTTAAGGTAGAAATTTCTTGGTGGGAGGAGGTGGCGGAGGATCCATCCTGTGCCCGGCTCAGCAGATGCACCGCTCCCCACCTCCCTCGCCAGCCCTCGCTGCCCCTGTTTTAGAAGAAAAGCACCGGCGGAGGAGAAGCGCCGCGGGGGCACGGCACTGTGCCGGTGCCAGGATCCGGCCCGGGCATCCACCGGATCTTAATTCCACCTCCATCTTAATTCATCAGGTGAATTAAGACTGAGCACCAGCAATGCTGCACCTCCGTGGGCACCCCAGGGGGGCTGAGCACCCTCAGCCTGGCACCCCGCACCCTCCAAACTGACCTGACCCCAAAACTGGTTTCCTGTAGGGGGGTGGGGGTGTGTGTGTGTCACACTCCTGGTTTGGGATGAGGACCCCCGGGTGCCATCAGCATCCCCACGGCT